GCCAAGTTTGGGTAGGGCCTTGTGCTATTCCATCATGTGGTGGAGATCCAAGGGGCAGAAGGCAGAGTCATCACCCTTGCTTTGTAACAACCCACTCCTGAAAGAAAGGCCTTAATCCATCTCAATACTCTGATCACCATTGTGCTACACATATCTCAATATGAGGTTTGGAGGAGACAGATCACATTCAACCATAGTTACACTTCTCTGTGGATTTTTTCTCTCTTTGGAGTTCCGGGGCTCAAACCCATGGCCTTGCACCTGCCCGTCAACACTGCACCACTGACAGAAGCAAGGGAGGGAACTCCAGAAGCAACTCCAGTCCACTGGAGTTACACCCCAGCCCACAGCAAAGATTTTCTCTGATCTGCCAAGAATGCCAGAGGGGGTTCTCAACCCCCGCAGGTTTTAGCTGGAGTAGTCCCTGGGATGTCAGGGAGGCAATGCACAGAGATACAGAAGTTTGTTATCATGTGCGTTTCACAGGGACTCTGGAGGCACCCAGGAAATGAACAGTTCTCAAAGCGCTGGCTTTGAGTGTAGCTTACTGGCATCTTCAACAAAGAATGATGGATTTTTAGGTAAATTACAAGACAGGAAAATGACTTGAGTCCTCAGCAGGGTGGCAACTCGTGGAAAGGGAAATGGCAGTCAGAGACAGAAGCATACAGGCTGTTCGTGCAGGGATTCTTGGTACCATCTCATGGTTGGCGAGTGACCAGTGGCACTGTGTTCATGGTCTCACTGTCCTCCCCAGTGCGTTTGTCGTTGCAGATACTTAGCCTGCTCTGAGGCCAGCGAAGGCAGAGTTCTCATCATTCTCCCCATCTTCCTCATCCTTGGCTCCCTCTTCCTATCCCTCCTCCTTCACCTCTTTTTCTTCTTGCAGTACTGAGAATCGAACCCAAGGCCTTTGTACTGAGCTTAATTCCCAACCTTTTTCTATTTCTGGTGACAGGTCCTTGCTAAGCTGCCCAGACTGGCCTCCAATTTATGACCTCTCTGCCTCAGCCTCCCAAAATGCTGGGATTACAGGCAGGCACTGCCATGCCCGGCTTGCACTAACACCATCGTTTTTGTATCAACAATCCCTTGTGTTTTGGGGTAACATATTCCGTTGTCCCCTGCTGTTCCTGTTGGTGTCACCTAGCTTCTATGGCATTCTATGCGATTGTCATCTGTGTGAGCCGCTCCCAGATTTGTCCTTCATGCAAATCAGTTGGGGATGTGCTGCTGTCTCTTCCTAAACTGGCTCCAGCATATCCTCTTCTGGTCCCCAGTCTCCTCCAGCCTTTTGACAGTCACTCAGTCAAAAACCAGCAAGCATTTGATTTTCCTTTGTATTAAATACTAAGCTGAGAGCTATTTGCAATGTTAAACGAGCTAAAAGCCTCTCGATATCTTTTCTCATGGAAAACAGCAGTACAGATCATTTCTGTGGGGTCATAGCGAGGCTCAGCACTTGGCAGAGTGGCAATTGGTGGGCAGTACTTAAATATTAGTGGCCCTACAGGTCCTGTGGGGAAGGGTGGGGCTGTATACTTACCCAAAGTGGATGCAGTCTCCCTGTTCAGATGGAGGGTAAACAAGACTCAGTGTCTTCACAGAGGGTTTTGGAGACACTGCCACACCCACCTAGTCAGCCATCTAACCTGAGAGCCGGACCAGGTTCTGCCAGGGAAGACAGATGCACCCAGAGGCCGTGTCCTGTTGCCAAGTGGGCTCCTGCTGTGTTTGTCATTGGATGCCCCCCACCCCCAGCTTCATGCACTCCTTATGGGGCTTTTGGGCTATGACTGGAGCCCTGTTGTGGGACAGTAGATTAGTCCATTGATGGGCTTATTGCTGGGGGTGATGTTGGGAGTTAAAGCCTGGTTGGAGGAGGTGGGTCATAAGGGTATGGCCAGGAGGGTCTATCTCCCTCCTATCCCCTTTCTCTCTCTTTCTGCTTCCTGTTCCCCATGCCTTGAGCAGCTTCTCCTCTGCCAGGCCCCTCTGTCAGGTTGCCCACCTTGGAGCCAGCTGACTATGGCCTGAAGCCTCTACCAACTGGAGCCACAATAACCTCTCTTCATTGTAACTTGTGTGTGTCGGGTATTTTGTCCTCGCAGTGAGAAAGACAGTGCCCTACCCTGCCCAGCTCTCTCTTTCTCCAGGAAGTTGAGGGCCAGGGACTTAGCTCAGCAGCAAAGGCACCTGTCTGGCAAGCACGAGGTCATGAGTTTGATCCCTGATACCAACGTCCTGCTTAACTCTGTGGGTGGCACAGGAAGGCTGGGAGTCTCTCCACAGCTTCCTGGCCACCCATTTCCTCCCTGTGTGGCTAGGCAGTTATACTCATTTCCTATGGTGAGGCCAAAAGAGGAAGTTAAAGCAGATGTTTGGCCCGTCTCTAGGAGAGAAGATAATTTTTCTAGTGGGAGCTAAAGGGAGAGGTAGTTTAGTGCCTTGGTTAAGTAAAGCACTTTTCTTCTGAGAGAGACCATGAAGATGTCTTTCTACAATGGGAATTCTTCTCCAGAGCCCCTGCAGGAAGATAGTCAAGTAGACCAAGTAGCACCACAGTGTGCCTCAACCCCAGGCATTTCATCCTTAGTCTGTGCTTTTCCCCATGCTGTGACCATAGTGGTTAACAGTGACCAAATGAGTGGCATCAGTCACATTCAAAATGCCAACATGTGGCTGCGTGGCCTCAGAGAAATGCCTTAATATCTCTAATTAGTTGTTTCATTTGTTTTTTATTTTTCATTTTTTTTTTGTCTTTTTTTTTTTTATCGGTACTAGGGATCGAACTCACGACCACCTGCTTGCAAGGCAGGTGCTTATGCCGCTGAGCTAAATCCCCAGCCCCTAGTTGTTTCATTTGTAACATGAGGACCAGAGAGTATGTTTCATAAAGTTGTTGAAAGAATGAGATGAGATGTATGCTGGGCATGGTGGCCCATGGCTGGGATCCTTGGGGAAGCTGAGGCAGAAGGCTTACAAATTCAAGCCCAGCCTCGGCAGTCTAATGATTTAGCAAGACCCTGTGTCAAAATAAAAATTAAAATAAAAATTAAAAAAAATTTAAAAGGTCTGGGGATGTTATTTAGTGTAAAGGCCCTGGGTTCAACTCTCAAGACCACTAAATAAATAAGTGTTTGAAGAGTTGGATCACCATGCCTGACACAAAATAAAGACTCCCTAACAGTTATCGATTATGACAAAGCATTTAGGTAACAACTCAAGGATTTTTTCATTGCAAAAAAAATCTATTCTTGTGTAACCTCTAAACTGGACATATATTCTACAATATGCTGGGACCATATTTTCCCTAACCTCCAAACTATATGACAAAGTCTTTTTTTTTTTAATGTTTGTGAATTTAATTTTATGAAAAGTATAAAATGTTCACATTTAATTTCCAAAGAACAACTTGATTGTAAAAGGTAAAACAAGACCTGAATAAATGCAGAGGCACAAATCTTCATTCTCTTAAATGCCAACAGGATTTAAAAAATATTGACAAGAAACTCTAAAGTTCATTTGGAAGAATAAATGAGTGGTTCTAGCCAAGAAGTTTTGAAAAACAAATGAAAACAAACAAAACAGCCTTTCCTGAGTGTAATACTTAAACTACTAGGTAGGTATTAAAACTTACATTGTCTAGTAAAACTAGAAACATAAACTGTAATTTGGAGTGGACATGGCCTCCCTATACATAAATCTAAAGACAAACATCATAAAAGACTATCAGGTTTCAGCACACAAAACAAAAATTTTCTCACTCCCCTAAAAGTTAAAAATGCAATCTGAGGGAAAACGTTTACAACATACATGATGAGTAGCTAATACCTTTACTTTATATATGCTCCTGAATAAAACTAGCTTCTCAACTTTTAAAACGAGCAACCAGGAGACTGGGCAAAGGGACAAAAACAAATTTATAAAGAGAACACACACTGGCAATAACCATGTGAAAAAGCAATCCAGGTAACTAGTACGAGGAAAATCAAAACAGTAAGAAATAGCCATGTTAATCAGACTTGAAAAACAGCCTGTGTTGTCAGGGCTACAGAAAAATGGTCACGTCTCGGGAAAAAAACTAAAATATTTTCCTGATAGTTTAGAAAACATTTAAAAATATATCTTATTTTTACCCCATCGGTTTTCTACTTCCTAAATGTTGAAATTGGGTGTGAAAGATACACAGGATATAGAAAAAAAAATTTGTTGGATAGGGCACATGCCCGTAACCCCAGTACTGTGGGACGCTGAGACACAAGGATTTCAAGTTCTGTTTCAGCTGGCAATTTATCAAGTGCCTAACAAACAAAATTTTAAAGGCTGGGATGTAGTTCAGGGCAAATAAAGGCTCTAGGTTCTATCTTCTGTTTTGAAAAAATTTCTATTTGTATATTTGTGCAGCTATTGAGATTCATGCTATAAAATATTTAACAAAGTAGGAAAAAAATTCACAATACTGAAAAAGGCAGAATGTGTTTCCACAAGGCATTTCCCATGCCAAAGATGAAATGGATATGTATAATGAAAACACATGCCAAAATATCAAATATAATTCACTCTAGGTAAAAGATCTTGACTTCCTTTATTTCCTATTTATGCAACAGAAGGGAAAAGTGTTTTTAAAATAATTGTACAATTCAAAAATTGCCCTTGTTGAAAGCATGAAAGGACATGAAAATGTAATAGCCCAGAAGCCCCCGCAAAGCCAAGCCACCTGCTAACGTGAATCACCGAGTTCTGGCGCAGGCTCGCACCTGACTGAGCAGACGCCACCCTGGCTGCGCGCTTGGCCAGGTGCAGTGACCCGGCGCGCAATGGACCCCTTGGCCTTTGCCCTGCGCCTGGCCCGCAACCATGCGGAGCCGGGCAACTCCTGTCCTTGCTTAGTTTTTGTACTCCAGGACCTTTCTTCCAAAGTCCACAGGGTCGAGCGCTTTTAGTCTCCACCTTGGAGCATGCACACTAAGCTGCAGGCTTCAGGTGCGCTGCGGCCGTCCTGTGTGCGCCTTGAGCATGGCCTGGGAAAAGCCAGAGACGCGACATTGCGCTGCGCCCACAGCCGCTGAGCCTCTAACAAACTCGTGCGGGAGGCGCCCGACTCAGGGGCCACAGGCCAGCCATGTGGTCGCCTGCTGGCGCATGTCCTCTGCAAGGACAAAGGGTCGCGAAACTTGAGCTCTGGCCCGTAGTGGAAACCCTAGCAAGGGTCGCCATGGCGACGAAAGCAGGCCCCTCCCGTGCGCTCGCAGGGGGAGCCCGGCAGCAGTGCCAAGTACCAGCGCCGATGACCCGGCCGCCCCACCCCCCCGGCCGCGGCCGCGGCCGCAGAGCCGGCAAATGACCCTCTGCAGCTCCTGTAGTCACGTGGCGCTGGGAACCCGGCGGGGGGAGGTTAGGGACGGGCCTGGCTGTTTGAACTCGAACCTGCCGCTGTCGCCGCGGCGGGACGGGGAGCGGGCCGCGGAGGCCGGCCTTGGGCTTCATGGACGGGCGCCGCGCCCCGGCACGGCCCGCGGGAGAGGTATGGGGGTTCGGGGGCACCGCGGGGGCAACTCCGCCTGCAGGGCGCGTGACCGCGAGGTGCGCGGCTTGGAGGGGGGGCGGGGGGGGGCGCGCACCTGCGCACAGGCTCCACAGGCTGCGCAGTGTGTGGGACCCCTAATGGCTACTAGCATGAGCGGGACCCGCGTGCCCGCGGACGATGGACACGCATCAGTATAAAAGGGGGGTGTGGGTTGCCTGCCACCCTTGGCCGTACAAGATGTTGGAGGGGATTTTGGCCGAGTCCGGTCACGCTGGCGTGCCCTGCGCAGCCCCCGTGGGAAGCAAGCCTGGAATTTCTGTTGGGAGCGCTGGGGGCGGGAGGGGGAGAGCCAGCAGGGATCCTGGAGTTATTACCCTAGGCCGGCCATTGGCCATCAGGAAAAGACCCTGGAGAATGGAGAATTCGCACTGACCTTACCAAGGAAGGTGACTCCCAAGTGCAGCAGTGTGGTTCCTTACGGAGGGCCACGTTTAGTCATGAAGCCAGTCTCCATTAAGGTCATTCTGACATGCTGAAAGGCCGGAGCCCGTAGCTTCGTTGGGGGAGGGTTGGGCTGGTGACACAAAGATGACCGCCCTCGGGGAGCGCAGAGCCTCACACGTGTTTTCTCTCCCCTTCCCGCAGGTAAGGCTGGCCTCCCTGCGTTCAGAGGTCTGAGCTGTGCCATGGGGGTAGGGGTGTCTTTATTGCTGCAGTTTTCTCTAACATCCGGGGGCTATCGGAGTGTGGGTCGAAGCAGGCGCTGCAGCCGCCGAAGTATCCTCGGGAACATCCCCAGGAAGAGCTGGAGAAAGCCTCATCCCCAGCTCTGCAGTTTCCAGGGTAGGGTCCGGCTTTGTTGTGTTCCCAAAGCACCCATACCCAGCAAATCCCCCCCGACACACACACACTTTGGATCGTGGCACAGGGAAAGGATGTGTGTGTGTTTTTGTGTATGTGTAAGGATTCCTTTCCATGTCTCGGGGGATCTTTGCTGCACTCAGGCCCTGGGGATAAATCATGTCAGCATTCCCCCAGGAGAACAGGTTGTAGGGAATGCAGGAGATGTCTCTGCACGGAGCCTGTGAGCTGGCACCAGAAGTCCCTCAGGAGTCTAACCGCTACTCTGACCTCATTCTGTGGAGGAGGTGAATGAGGGGCAGCCCCTGGCTAGGTTGGGGCAGGATCAGGCAAGGGACAGAGATTCCAATCTCATTTGCCCTTCCCCTTCACTTGCCCCAGGAATCCACAGCACCCTAAAAGAAGCAGAGCCAAGGACTGGGCCCCTAGGGCAGTATGTAGTGGGTGTTCTTGGATTCAAGACAGTTTACCTTTGCCTAATCGCAGGTTGGTGGAGGAGGGTAGGCGGGCAGAATGTGGGCAGTCTGGACAGGCAGTGGCTGTAGGCAGTGCTGGGGGGTTGCTGAGCCCCCCCCTGCAGAGGCTGTTCTCTTCTTATTCATGCTATAGGGTATGAGGCTGAGGCTGGTGAAGCTGAAAGTGCCTCTCTTGTCCGGTGGCAGGAATGAAAGAGGTTGGCAGTTTTTGCCAGATCTGTGTAAACCCAGGTGTTTAGAGGAAACAACAGTGGCCCGAGGGCTTAGAAGAGCTATGCCTCAGTCTTGGTTCTGTTTTTGGTTTACTCTTGTCTTTGATGCCTCCCACTTGCTTCATTTGTCAAGCAGGGAGCTCAATGTCTGTTCTTTTGGCCTCAATGAGCTGCTGTGCGCTGCGATGTGGCAATAGGCACGTGCAGGCACACACAGAGGGCAACGGGGAAGCCTTGCAAAAGTCCGAGACACTGTAGGGAGATGTGAAAACATGTTTTCTGGTGAGTTCTGTGGCCAGGAGGTTAGTGCAGCCAACATAGGAGTAGCTGCTATGAGTAGTGTCCAAGTCTCCTCTGCATTTTCAGGGCAATGCATATATGACACAATTTTGAAGTGTTATCTAGAGATTAAAATAATATTTAACACACAAGGAAGTGGGATAGCCTAGATTAGAGGCAAAGGCTCTGGGAGTTTGCGGAGGAGAGCTGACCGTTCCTGGAGTGATTCTGTTTTTCCATCCCCAGCAGAAGAAGAACCCATGCTGGAACAGCGCTGTCGGGGCTCCATGGCCATGGGCCCAGCCCCACCTCGACTCCTTTCTGGGCCATCCCAGGAGTCACCCCAGACCTTGGAGAAGGAGTCCAGCAGGCTGAGGCACCGCACCACTCTAATGGTCCAAGCAGGTGGCCCAGCCCCTGGCAAGGGCCATCGCTGTGTCCACTGTCGAAGGCACTTCTCGACCTGGGTGGCCCTATGGCTTCACACCCGACAGTGCCAGGCCCGGCTGCCCCTACCCTGTGCTGAATGTGGGCGACGCTTCCGCCATGCCCCATTTTTAGCACTGCACCGCCAGGTTCATGCCGCTGCCACCTCAGACTTGGGCTTTACCTGCCACCTCTGTGGGCAGAGCTTCCGAGGCTGGGTGGCCCTGGTTCTGCATCTGCAGGCGCACTCAATTGCAAAGCGACCTGTTGCTTGCCCTGAATGTGAGAGACGCTTTTGGCGACAAAAGCAGCTCCAAGCTCATCTGCGGAGATGCCACCCCCCTGCCCCTGAGGCCCGGCCCTTCATCTGTGGCAACTGTGGCAGGAGCTTTGCTCAATGGGACCAGCTGGTTGCTCACAAGCGGGTGCATGTGGCTGAGGCATTGGAGGAGGCAGCAGCCAAGGCTCTGGGCCCCAGGCCCCGAGGGCGCCCAGCAGTGACAGCTCCCAGGCCCGGTGGAGACGCAGTGGACCGGCCCTTCCAGTGTGCCTGCTGCGGCAAGCGCTTCCGCCACAAGCCCAACCTGATAGCCCACCGCCGAGTACACACAGGCGAGCGGCCACACCAGTGCCCTGAATGCGGGAAGCGGTTCACCAACAAGCCCTACCTGACCTCGCACCGACGCATCCACACTGGTGAGAAGCCCTACCCGTGCTCCGAGTGCGGCCGCCGCTTCCGGCACAAACCCAACCTGCTGTCGCACAGCAAGATCCACAAGCGGTCTGAGGGCTGCACACAGGCTGCCTCGGGTACCAGGACCCCCCAGGTCCCAACCGTGGCTCCGGACCCCACAATGGAGCCGCGCCCTGAGAAGCTGGCCCCGGAGGCTGCTGTAGAGCCTATGCCTGAAGTCCCCCTGGAGCTCCCGCAGGACCAGGCGGAGGTGCCCCCGTCCCTGTACAGCTGTGATGACTGCGGACGCAGCTTCCGCCTGGAGCGCTTCCTTCGCGCGCACCAGCGGCAGCACAGCAGCGAGCGGCCCTTCACCTGCGCAGAGTGCGGGAAAAACTTCGGCAAGAAGACGCACCTGGTGGCACATTCGCGTGTGCACTCTGGCGAGCGGCCCTTTGCCTGCGAGGAGTGTGGCCGCCGCTTCTCCCAGGGCAGCCACCTAGCGGCCCACCGGCGCGACCACACCCCTGAGCGGCCCTTCGTTTGCCCCGACTGCGGCAAGGCCTTTAGACACAAGCCCTACCTGGCCGCGCACCGGCGCATCCACACCGGCGAGAAGCCCTATGTTTGTCCGGAGTGTGGCAAAGCGTTCAGCCAGAAGTCCAACCTGGTGTCCCACCGTCGCATCCACACTGGCGAGAGGCCCTACGCCTGCCCTGACTGTGACCGCAGCTTCAGCCAGAAGTCCAACCTCATCACGCATCGCAAGAGCCACATCCGTGATGGTGCCTTCTGCTGTGCCATCTGCGGCCAGACCTTTGACGATGAGGAGCGCCTCCTGACCCACCAGAAGAAACACGATGTCTGAGAGGGGGCATAGGCCACCTTCACGACAGGAGTGGGGCACTGGCCCTTGGCGCCTGCCTTGGTGCTGGTGGAAGAGGCAGTGGGAATCCCAGAAAGGATAGGAGAGGCCAAGTGGGCTGGCCCTGCTAGAGTCAGTCCAGTGGGTAGGGAACCCCTGTCGGAGCTAAAGGACCCAGCGTCCAGCTGGTGTTCCTAAGGTTCCATCTTGACTGTCCTGTGCTCTGAAAACGTAGCAATAGCAGCTCCATCTACCCTTAAAGCCCTGGCTAGAGGAGCCACCAGTGGGAAGGAAGCTGCTCCATCCTCTGGTGTTAACGCCTTAATGTCCCAGTCTTCACTATGAGTTTCTTCAGGTCATTTTTGGAAGTAGGTGTAGAACAGTCCTTAGTAAATGAGCACTCACAAAGGGAGGGAAAATGGATCAGCTGGACACACTTTGAGAACGCGCTGGCCTCCTTAGGCATCACAGGGCTTTTTGTCAGCACTTAGGTGAGTCCAGCCTGCTCTTACCTGTCCCCTTCCCTGTTGCCCCTGCATAAAATCCCAGACTTGGAGAGGCCCTTGTTAGCAAGTCCACCCCCCTTTCTCCCTGAAGATCTGGTCTGGCTCTGTCTCCTGCCCCAATAGTGCTGAGGGCTTTCCTGGCTGTTTTGCCCGATCTCCTGGTGATACCCTTCATGCAGAGCTCACTATGTTATGGGAAGGACTGGCCTTTAGGTGCAGCCCAAGGGAAGGTCTGGTGCGTTTCCTTTGCAGCGTTTCAGCGTGTGGATGGCGGTCTGCCTGAGCACTGAGGCCCTGGGTCTGTCATAGGATGATTCTAATTGTTAGAAATTCCTCTTTATGATGATTGACATCTGCTTTCCTATCATTTCTACCTGTTGGGCCTTGTTCTGTCTTCTGGATCTAAACAGAACAACTGTTTACCCTCCTTTTCAAATTAGAGAATAAAGATTTGGTTTTAGAACTGGTTGGCTGGGGCCTGTTCCTTTTCCTAGAGGGTCAACAGCTCATTAGAAAGGACTTAGAGGAGCAGCAATTCTGAGCAGCAGAGATGGTAGTCTGCCTACATACCCCCACATGTGTGTGGACCCCACAGACAGGAGTCAGGTGCCAATTACCAGTTACTAGGAGGAAGGGGCTGATGTTTTTCTCCCACCGAACCTGCTCAATGCTGGTCCCACACTTTGTACATCTCCCTGCACTGGGCATTTTGCACGAATTAGAGTCCCCATTTCTGTCAGGTACAGAGGCTTTGTTTTGTTTTGTTTTGTTACGGTGAGGAATGTCAGTGATCTCTGCACTAATCCCTAGCACCCAGCACAGGCCAGTGCTTCAGAATAACCACTGTTTGCTTATGCGGGTAGTGGCAGTTTCCCTATATCACCTCAAGTGACCTTCCTTTGGTAGGTGGTCTTGTTACCCTTTTATGCCTGATGACATTTGCTCGAGGTCACATAACTGATAAAACATGTGGGTTCAAAATCTGGGTCTGTCTAGCTTTGAACCCTTCACCACATGCTTTTTGGGTAAACTGAGTGTGCTGCTCCTTGGTTGACACAAGTATTAAATCCCTACTGTGTGACCAGTGTTGTAATGGAAATCAAGGGGTTTTAAAGGTAAGTCCTAATTTCTGTCCCTCTAGGGCCTGGGTCCACAGAGGGTAGAGCTCAGTGTGTAGATAGAAGCCAACAGCTTCAAAGCTCTATATTGGTTTATGGTGTTAGGGAGCCATTTAAAACCTGTGTAGTCTAAGTGTATTGTTTGTCAGAGCCCCAGGGGAGAGGGCCTGGTCACAGCCTCTGTTCTCACATCTGTTCTCTTTGAGGGATCACATAGCTTCTAGGGAAGAGGAGATGACTCGGGAAGAATAGGTGGCCATCTGCAGTGATGGGTGAGGAGGGGATGAGTCCTTGGGTGTCTGTTCTGGTTGGTGCTGGGTGGGGAGGCGGGGTGGGTTATCCTAAGGTCCTGACCTTAAGGAAATGATCATTTTAAAGGAGAACGGTGGCCTGGTTATGGGAACAGGACTGCCTGTCTCAAGTGCTTGATCAGTGTTCGTCCCAGCTAACTGAGGAGAAGGACTTTGGGAAAGGGGTTAGAGTTTTGCTTTTAGGAGTTGCCCTTCTCCCCTACAATTGGTTTTTCTCTTTCTACAAGGGTGTTAAATTATCCTGTAAAACTTGAAACAGGTCGGGAGTATAGCTTAGTGGCACAAGCGCCTGCCTGACAAGTGCAAGGTCCTGAATTCAATTCCTAGCACCAACCCTACCCTTCCAATCTCAAAAAAACAACAACTTGAAATAATCCAGGTTCATATTTTAATGGGAAGTCCTGGATTCTTTCAGCCCATCTTCCAAGACCTTTCTCCTTACGCTGTCAGGAGAGTTTGAGGTGTGTTCTAGGTATGGCTTCCTGTGACTGACACACGTACATGTGTGGCTGCCCCCAATTTTGGTAATGGGAATAGGACTCTGGATCTGTTTCATTTTCTCCACTCCTGAAATGTCCTTGGTGGTGGAATGTCAGTCTGGAGGTAATCTTCACTCAAGAGGAGGAAATAAGCCTGGCAAAAGTGGCTTCACAGGGTCACACCTGTTCTGCCACCGTGGCTGGTGGCAGAACAGGACTACAGCACTGGTTTCTGAGGAGTGTATCCCACACATCCCTGTGGAGCCCTCACTAGGTATCCTAGAAAGTAATCAGAGGATGAGACCCCAGGGGTTGACCTGTCACATGTGTGGGCTGTGTAGGGCTTTATGTAGAACTTTACACGTGCTCCTACAGGGGTAAACCAAATTACGAGAATTCAATAAGGTATGGGGGCAACTCGAAAACTAAAAAATAAGTCAAAACCCAGAGAAAAAATGTATGTTTAAACTACGCAAAGTTAATGGCAAAATGGACAATCTGACCATTTCCGCCTGGCTTCGGAGGCCCAAGAGCAGCCAGGCTCGTGGCCCTGCTCACTAGCTGTTGCCTAGTTGGCAACAGGTCCACCAACTTCCCTTTGCTCCAGAATTCTGTCAGTGGGAGGCAACCCACTCTATCCCCTTCGAGGACCTCCCCCTATCGAAAGTACTCTGTCCTGAAGGTCTCAGGGAAACCAACACTGGAGCTGGCAGAAAGTCAGGTCTGGTTGGCAGCCAGAAAAAGGACTCATCTGAGCCATGGTGAGCTGTGGAATCGGAAAGACCATGCCACGGCCCTTAGTGCAGGACTCTTAAGCACCGTTTATTATGTCGCTGGGCCGCGACGCGCCGCCTGGTTTGAGGCCAGCGGCACCGCACGATGTGCACGCGAGGTACGTATATCTGGCAGCACACGGCCAGAGCAGACATGCGTCTGGAGGAAGCCTCAGAGACGGTAGCTTCCCAGCACCTTAATAACTGCATGGGCTCGTGCGCCCTGACTTACACCTTAACATGCTCGTGTGCGAGAAAGGGTGGCAGGCACTTGCGGTCGTGGCGTACCCGATCTAGTCTCGCAGCGGAGCCGCAGCGCGAGCGTTCAGCGCCGAGCGCGCCTGCAGGCCGGGGTCAGCCCTCCGCCCCCGGCTATTGGCTCGGGAGAACAAAGGGGCCGCCCCGCGGGCTGCTCCGATAGGGCCAGGCGGGTCATCTGAGTCTCATAGCCAATCGTGTGGCCGGACGACCCGGAGGACGGCCTGGCCCACCATCCAATCAGGATCGCGTGCCCGCCCCGCCTGTCCCGGGACTGGCTAGGAGCCGGAGCCCGGTGCTTGAGTCGCCCCCGGGGAGGCCGTTCCGTTAACCTTAGCTACAAAGTCAAAGGTATTTATTTCCCCGCCCCCTTCCCTCCAATCCCTTTGTATTTCGGGCAGGGAGGGGCAGGGCAAACGGTGAACCGACGTCAGCCCCTCTCCTTTTCGCGCCGTTCCACCTAGCTAGGTGATGGGGGGAACTCCTCAACCGCCCCCCCACCCCCGCGTGATCCCGCGTGTCCCAGGCCCCAAACTTTGTCCAGCCCACTCGAGTGGGCGGGCATCGGGTGCGGGCCTCGCGGGCCGGAGGGAGGGCCAGGGATGGGGTGTCTCCGCCGTCCCCCTTTTGGCTGCCCGGTTGTCTTGAGTTCCCTACCCGTGTCCGCCCCCTGGATAAACCCGTTTCTGGGTTAGGAGCCCCTGGGCGAAAAGGACTCATAGTAGGTGCTCAATAAATGCATGGTTGCAGAAGAGGCCATACAGATTGGGGGTGGAGAACGCTGAGCGGGAAGAAACGTAAAAGTTGCAACTGTGTGTGTCAGGGTGGGGGATCCCCATACACCCATTCTAGTAAAAGGAACAGTCTGGCCTGGTGGGATGTGAAAGGGAGGGGCTCCTTCCCCTGTAAACTTAGGTGTGAAGGGGTGCTGTGTGGAGATGCTGCCTCTTGCAGCCCTTTGGGCAAGATGGAGACCAACAGAGTCTGGGACTGGGTGTGGTTAAAGTCCCAGAGGTGGAGGCTAGTGACAGTCGGGGGTCTACTGTTCATGTCCTTTTGGATTCCCAGTGTTCATCAGTAAGATGAAGAGATAGATGGCATTTGTCTTCTTTCAGCTTCAAGGTCCCGTGATTCCGTTCTTCTACTGTATTTTGGATTGCAATTTTCTTTAAATCCTCATGTTCCCTTACAACTATGTTTAGCAATGGTTTACCTCACACAGAGCGTCTGTAATGGGTATTGGGGAGAGAGAAACATCCCTAGTTAAGATGCCTGCCTGGCATCTGCCTGGATGTGGAGACAGCAGCACCAGTAATGATAGCCGTTCTGTGGAACTCCACATGGTTGGATGGTGCTCAGGTCAAACAGAACAGGCTGTGGACAGCACGGTGGACCCAGGGGCTTCCTGGGCAAAGTGCTCCTGTCTGGGCTGAGTTGAAGAGTTAAGCACGGCCATCCCAGGACGTGTCATAGACCTTCGAATAAGAGGGTGTGACAGACTCAGGGACTGTGATTGGGAGATGATGGTGTATGTTGGGGTGCCATGGAAAGAGGTGACTAGAGGCCAAGTTTTTAATGTCCATACCAGATTATTTTTTTTCATGCCAAATTTTTTTTTTTTTTTAAACTAAATCTCAAAGTGAATGATTTCACCTACGGTAGTAATGACCAGATTTCAATTTTAGAAAAATTGGTTTGGGTCCTGGATGGTGGATGAATTGAGGGGAGCAAAATAAGTCATGGAATTGTTGAAGTCTTTCCAGTGAGAAATAATGAGCCCTGAACTCTCATGGGCAGTGGGCGATCTTAGGACTCATTAAAATGGCACTGGTAGGAGGGACTGTTGGTGTGAACTGTTCTCATTCTCTGGTGGGAAAGCTCTGGCAGTTTCACGGGGTAGAGGAACAGGGTGAATGATGGGGGGAATGGGAGCCAGGCATGCCTGATGCTGGGGTAGGGGGCTGGAGGCCACCTGATCTGTACATAAATTGGGACATAAATTGCTTTGTTAGGCAGAGGATTCTGCAGACAGGACCACAGGGGTAGCTGTGGGCAACCCGCTTCCCCCTCAAGGCCTGATAGAGTTGGGGATTACTATGGCTCGCTGAGGGCTTCTGAAGATTCTGAATGGGCTAGAAGGAGTCATGGTTCAGGAAGGCTGAGAAGCAGGGAGATGTTTGCAAAGACTTGTAAGGTGTGTGTGTGGTGGGGGAGTGTTCTCAGACAGGGAGAGAAAACACACTGATTTATAGGGTTCAGGAAAGGTCACAGTTCCAAACCAGCCTCTTTTGATGCTTGTAACCAACCCTTGGAAAAAGTGCTTTCAGTAACCTGCCCTCTGGAACCTGAGGCTCAAGGAGCTGAAGTGACTTCCCAGGGGTTGGCAGTGGGTAGTGACAGGTGGGCTAGGACTCAGGGCTCCTGATTTCTACCTTCAGGTGTGATATGTGAGTTTGGAAAGATCTTTGAAACCTCGGGTCGTGGGCTGAGGTTGGGGGCCTTGTGCTGACAATCCTGCCCTGTGGCAATTGAGGGTCCCCCCAGGTGGCCAAAGGAAAAGGGCCACTGCTTTTTGGTGGGCTAAATACCACAGGCCAAGCCCGGGGGGCAAGGAGAGGCGGTTGCCTCATGCTACCTACACTGGGCCTGCTGGTCATTGTTTTCCAGAACTTTTTGCTCCTCACCAGCTTTTTGCAGCGCTCTGCCTCCTTTATCAGCCTGTTCCCCCAAGCCCAGGTGACCTAGCTGGTGACTGCCTAAAGCTTCCTGGCTCTCTCTGGACATGGTACGTCTGCCCGTGTCCCTGAGTTCTATTTCTTGGAGCAAGGGGCCTTTGGACCTTTGAGAACACTGTCTGGACAGACTCATGAGTATTGTGAAAGGATATTTGCTGCCATGGTTGCCATCGGCACATTAGTGTGTATGTGATATGTGTGTCTTTGAGTTTTAAAAGCTTAGATTCTGTGTATTTACAGATACACTAGTCCCCCTCAAGACCCTTATGGATAGTATTGAACCCTGCATTTACTGTTTCTCCTACAAGTCCATATCCACCTATAATAAAATTTAATTTATAGATCAGGCACAGTGGGAGAATAACAATAACCAATAATAAAATAGAATGGTCACAACAGTATACTATGGATGTCACGTGAATGTTCTTCTCTGATACTGGGGATTCAATTCAAGGCCTTGACACTGGGCTAAATCTCCAGCATGTCCCTACCCCTTTCATTAAAATTTTAAGACAGGGTTGTTTCTCAGGCTCGTCTTGAACTTTCCATCCTCCTGTCAGTCTTGAGTGGTGCTGGGTTGCAGACCACCATACCTGGCTGTGTCTCTGTGTTTTTGCATCTTTGGACTGTTGTTTGCTTAGCTGGGTTTCGATGGGACTCTTGTCATGGCAAGTGAGTCAGTCATACATTTAAAGTGACAACATCAATGCTGTTTCTGAAACCCATTTCCCAGGCAGGGGACATTGGCTCACCTTCAGGGGTTTGTTGTTTGTGACAAATGTCAGGGGCTATAGGAGTGACCTCTCAGAGTCCACCATTTGTTTAATGCATCAATTCTGTGTAGATTGAACACCTGTTTATCAGGATTGGGTAGGGCCTGAGCCCTGCCTTCCTGAAGCTTGCTTTCCAGGAAGATGCCAATGACCTTGACCACCTAGTATTGGCCACAGGTTGCTGACAGGCATGTCAGTGTGGCCAGTATAATTAGGAAACTGAATTTTTAAGTTTAATTTATTTGAATTTAAATGTTCATGTGGCTATAAAAGCCAAACCTCTGAAATCAAGGGGTAGTTGAAAGTTGTCTTGACCACAGGTGGCCCTGGACTATGTCATATGTTATCTATTTGGAGATGACAAGGTCACCGAGAGAGCACTGGGCTGGGGCAGGGTCCCTCAATTTGGTCCTGGCTCCAGTACTTACTGGCTGTGTGAATTTGAGTAAATGATCTTTTCTGAGCTTTTATCTCCTTAGCTGCAGGATGATACAGGTGATGTGCTTGGCAAGGTTGGTCCTCAGCAGGTAATAGCCCATAGGTGTTGAACCGGCTGACCTGTCCTGTCACCTTGCAGATGCTGACATGGCTGGCAGGGGACGTGCAGAGAAAGTAGAACCAAAGTAAGATGATGCCTTGTACAGGTGATAAGGGGCAAATACTGTAACTCCCATCCTGCTCACTGTCAGACACACCGTGTTCATGTTCCCCAAAATGGAACAATGAACCCTTAGGGACCACAGAGAATAAGAGTAGGAAAAATTTATTGGGAGAGGTAACTCCTGAGAGACAGGAGGGGACTTGCCAACAAGCCGACTTCTCAAAGGAAGTTTTATAGAGCAAAATTACAAGATAAGTACAACAAGGGTCAAAACTATGGTCAACCAAGAAGATTACAAGCAGAGCTGCTTAGGCAGTTGTGATCCAGTGGGTAAACAGGTCACATAGCATGTGTACGGGGAGAGAGCACAGAGCTTTTTAGGAAGGGATGGTCAGGAGGTCCTGGTCACCCACAAGGGTGACTGATGTCTATCGAGGTCTTACTGGACCGGGTGATATCAATTGTAGTATAACCGTTAATTTGTTTCTTATCCTTGGGAGAGGCAGGCAGGCCTGCTCCTTCCATCTTGTTTTGAGCTCTGGCATCTGACAGCTGTGCCTCCAGCCACAGTAGCTCTGTGTTCTCCTCCTCTGCACGGACTCCCTCGAGGGCCTGGCCCTGTCTGCCGTACGCAGCTGTCTATAATAAAGGCACTGTCCTGCCTTGCTGGTGACAAAGAATGCGTGGGGAACTCCTCACTTCCCTTCCTGGGCCCTGAGCTGTTGTAGGCTCTGTGACCTGGGGACAAACAGGTCTCCAAGCTGCTCTCCAAGGCCCTGGCCTTGGCCTTGTTCCTCAGCCCAGCTGCCAAGTTTCTGCTGACACTGAAGCCGTCTCTCACCGTTCCTGGCCTGGACCTCACCATCTGCTGCAGCCCCCCACCTCCTCTCCATGCAGCTCCCAGTTGTCAAAGCAGCTGGGCCTTCTATCTGAGGGCTTCTTACCCAGCTGTGGTCTGGCCCAGGAAGATGGGCAGGAGGAAGTGGGAGGTGACTTGGGAGTCCTCCTGGACTCTGTTGTGGGAAGGTGGGATCAGGGCCTATGTGACAAGTTGTCCTCAGACATGCAGGGTGCATACTCCTGGCTCTGCAGGGTAGCCTGGCAGCTGTGAGATGTGCTAGGCTGGGGTGAAGGAAGTGTGAGCCAGGCAGCCAAACAAGAATAGAATTAGAGAGAAGATGGCACAGAGGACCTAGAATAGGTATCCACATAGAGGCACTGTCCTTGGCTTGGCATGCGCAGGGTGTAGCCCACAGATCTGCCCTGCCTGAGGACACAGGTAGACTTGGATCCCTAGAGGCATAGCTGCCTGCCCCATGCCTGTCTTCTGTGTGTCCCTCTCTTTTCTCATTTCATCCCTTTGGGCCCTTCTGTTCCTGCATAGGGCTGTTCTTCATGCCGTGGACAGAGCAGCCCACCAGATGTCACAGGAGGCAACTTCGAGGTCCTACTGATCTAGGGAATAAAACTCCTAACCTACTATGTCCAGTACAAGATTGTGTTCTCTAAAATTGAAGAATGAATTTTAGGAACAACGGAGGTTAAGAACAAAACATATTTATTAAGAGAAAGAAAGCTGATGTCTGAGAGAGACAGAAGGGGTCCCAAGCAGGTTGCCAGGGACTCTGTCTTTTCTAGGGACTTTATAGAGTAAAATCATGGGCGTGAGATGGGTTAAAGTGAAAAAATGGGACCTTGCAAGGCAGATGGGCATAAGATGGGATAGAACTATGGTTAGCCAATAAAATTGATTAAATTAGGGACAAATGGTGAGGCGAGTCAAATAGAAATCGAGCACTCTTAGAGAGCAGTGACTCTTTTCTAGGGGGTTAGAATGGTGACTCCTGGCTTCCTCAGGGTGATAGGGAACTACTTAGAATATCAATCCTCAGGATATGGGTGCATCTGTTTGGTCTTTTGTCTTGAGGCCCGGCACACAGCAGGTCTCTGTCTCTCCCAAAGTTGAAAGGTACGTGGTCTTCTGCATTGGCTCCTTAGAGGACCCAGCCTTGTCTCACTGCCTATAATATTTCTAACTAACTCAGGTGCCTATAACACTACCACTAGTGTAGATAAAGTAAAACTATCTTGGTTTTGGTTTAGGGACCCTTAGGTGTGTTGCGTAGGCTTTGCCCTGGCCCTCTGACCCTGCCCAGTTTGTGGCCCCAGCTTTGACTCTCTGAGTCTCTTGATGTTTGAAAGGGTTGCTGACCCAGACTGGACACTGTAGCCAGAAAAAGCCTCAGCTGGAACTAGGGAGCTCCTGCCTCCCCCGCCTCTAGAGATTTACCTGTAACCCTATACCCCCCACCCTTCGGAACCTGCCCCTGGCGCCAAACGTGTGCCAGTGAAATACCTGTACATCTCTAATGGCCTTAGGGCACTGCCCTAAGCTTAGGCTACTTATATTTTCCCCACGCCACGTGTCCCGGTGAGAGAGATCGCCAGATTCCAGCAGCCAGCGCGCCAGTCCTCTCTCCCCATGTTCCCAGAATAAAGGCCTCTTTTGTTTTATACTCCTCATCTTTTGGAAATATTTTTCATCCTCTGGAAATAATCCTATCAATGTTGAGGTGGTCCCTGTCCATAGTTCTCTGAGTCTCTTCAGGTGGGTGTTGAGTCCGTGTGGTTAGAGGACTTGGCCAGTGTCCTGGGATGCAGAAGCTCACAATGGGGCTGGAGGGGGTCAGGGGGTAGCTGAAGTTGCTGTCTGAGCCCCTGTATCCCCCAATTGCACCTGGCATGGTGGGTCTGACCCTCCCTCTTGGTGCCGCCACCTCTGCTCTCCATGTCTATAACAAAACACAGTAGGGGTACTGGGTGATCCCCTGCCTGGGAAATAATTGACTTCAATCTCTAGCCAACCTACAGACACTCCCCACAAAAGGAGAGAAAGAAGTTTTTTTTTTTTTTTTTTTTGAGAAAGAAGTTTTGTTGTTGTTATTGTTTTTTAATTTAATAAGCATCACCAGAATGTGATGTCACTTTGGGCAGTCTTCAGCCAGAGGTGATCTGCTTCCTGGTGATCACCAAGCAGAGGCCACCATGACACACCTGTTCTCAAGATAAACAGTAGCTATCCCTCAAGCAAGGGGACATTCAGCACCATCCATACTCACCTGGGAACTGGGTGACCATCTGTTAGCCAACTGCCCCTGCCCAAAAGAAAAATAAATTCCTACTTTTATGACAGGAGGTAAAGTTTGCAAGTTGGAGCTAGGCTCCTGCCTGAGCGAGGTTTCTGCCCTCCAGGGAGATGGCCTGGCTTCCTTCATGTTTACATCTCAAAGCAGTGGTTCCCAGGTGTTTAGGATAGAACTTCTGGCGTTTGTAAAGCTGGCCTGGGGCTTATTTAGCTTCACAGAAGATTTACAAGTGGCTCAAAAGGACCGAGTCAGGCTTAACAATTAGAAGTTTCTAAAGAAAGTACTCTGAAAAAAAGAGGGTGTCCCTTCCCCCTTTGCAACCATGAAAGTGTTTTTGCTTTAGATTCGTACTCTTCTCTCCTACCTCTTTCCATGGTCTAGTTTTTTTCTTGTTGATGTTTTTTGCATACTGAGGATTGAATCTAGGGCTTGCATGCTAAACTATATACCCGGCCTCGCCCCCACTTTTTAAATTTTGAAACAGAATCTTAAAAAAAGAAAAGAAAGAATCTTGCTGTGTCCTTGAAATGCCCAACCTGGGCTCAAATTCCTGGTCCTCCTGTCTCAGCCTCCCAGAGTGCTGAGATTATAGGCATGCACCACCATGCCTGCTCAGAGTACAGTTTTCCGCCTGGGTAGGTGTTCCTAGAGTGGACTCAGGAAGGGCACCTGCAGGAGGGAGGCATGGGAGTGTGGGTGTCTGTGAGGAAGCCAGCTGTCCCCATTGTGCCCTTCAGGGACGGCCACACATGAAGGTGGGCATAATGAGCCCTTCTCTGAGCCACAGCTTAAAGCCAATGCATTTATTAGCTGCATGCATCTGTTAAGTGCCCTGGCCTCCGGGCTTTGTCCTAGGCATTGGAGGTTGGGCGCTTTGTCCTGGGCACTGGAGGTTGGGCGCTTTGTCCTAGGCATTGGAGGTTGGGCGCTGAGCATGAACAGTTGCTGTCCTCACGGTGGTGGGGAACAGGCAGGAGAGCGAAGGGCACGTCAGAGGGTAGAGGGCCCAGGTGGGTGGAGTTAGGTTGATAATCTGCATCAAGGTGCGGGAGATGGCCACCCTGGGAAGGTGACATCCCCAGCGACCTTTCAGGAAATATTCAGAAGCTTGGGCATAAAATAAAGAAAATGCTGAGGGCTCGATCAGAAATACGGACTGTTCTCATCCTGGGCTGGCTGTGACCTGCCCTGGAGGGGTGTGTAGTAGAACATGGATGGGGACTCAGAAAAGGGCCAGTGGCTTAGAAAACACGGGCAGCTCTGCTTTCTAGCGGTAATCTGTCTGCCATGGGTTTTGTTTGTTTTGTCTTTTTTTGATGGCAGGAATGGAATCCAGGGCCTTATGCTTGCTTGGCAAACACTGCCCTGGGCCATACCGTATTCCTTCCCCGAGGTTTCTGGCTCTTTCTCACACCATGCCTTGATGTTGAGAGTGTAGGATGTGAACTCTGGCGCAGGAGTTAGGAAACCTGGGGTTTTGCCTTCTTGGCACTCTGCAACTCTGGGCATGTCCAGGGTCCTCCCTGGCCTATTTCCTCTTTATTTTTATTATTATTTTTTATTTATTTTTTGTGGTACTGGTACTCACAATCTCGTGCTTGCCAGGCTGGCACTTATGATACTAAGCTAAATCCCCAGCCCCCTATTTCTTCTTTAAACAACAGGAATTAGGCTATTTTTACCAGCCCAGCAGGTATGTGTGCAAGTAGAGTCCCTGTACATTGAACTGAGGCCATGAATAGAAGAGCTCTTGGGAAAAAGATCATGCGTTCTACTGCCTGGGAAACCCTGTATTGTCCTCCTCCTGTAGGCTGATTCTCTTTGCTTTCATCTCACCCCTAGATGGCAGGGCAGGGCCCCAGCCAGTGCTGACTCTGTGCAAGAGCTCCAGGGATGGAGAGCAGTCGGCCTGGAGACAGCACAGGTAAGAGAGAAGAAGGGAAGTGGTCTCCCCCTCCTCCCAGGCCCACCTTCCCTTATCCTCCTAGAGCTGAGACTAAGCTGCTGATCTAGGCAGGAACTGGGAAAAAGATGTTCCTAGCAGTGGTTTCTAGAATGTACAATTTCAGGGTGAGGGCCAGGACTTTGAAGGTCACCCAAAGGACAGAACAAGGACAGAAGCTGTGGGAACAAAGAAATGGCAAAGCCCAGAATGTTACACACAGGCCAGGAGTGGTAGAAATTACTGAGGCGTGTTTTAAGGGCTAGAATGGGGAGTTAAGAGGGTTCTGCTAATTTAACATGGCAGACTAGCACCTGGGTAGGAAAGTGGGTTAAAACCAGCTGTTGATCAGCAAAGGTTCTGAGGCTGTTTCTGAGGTCACCCAGAGTTCAGGGTCTTTACTGGCTGGGAGCCTGCATCTACCAGGCAAGTACTCCCAGAGTGGAAAATTTTCCAGTCTGGTCATGTGCTCCTGGCCCAAGCCCTGCTCAGCAGCTCTGTTTCCCGTGAGCCTTTCTCCCTGCTTTTTCTGCAGCCCCTGTCCTGGCGTCCTTGGGTCTGAGAGTCTGAGAGTCCTGCCCTTCAGCAGAGGTGGCTCTGGGGTTTGCCCCATGGACCTCAGAGCCTCTGCTCTATTGCCCTGTAGGGAGAGCCTCCTGCCCTTTTCCGGAGTATCAGTGCAGTGGCTCGAAAACAGACAAAAATCAGGCAGTAACTGGGAAAAAGATGTTCCTGGCAAGTCCAAGGGCAGCAGTGTGAAGTGTGGAAGCCACTGATTCTGGGCTAGGGCTGACACAGACCCTGTGGTGGCATTGGTAGTGGTGGGAGCACAGCTGGGCTGTCGTAGCCTGACCTTATTTTGGAGCCTGAGCTCCTGCAGGATGCAGACATAGAAAGCCTGGTATGTGCATGCCAGATGCTTCTGTGGTGGGACCTTTTCCCTGGATAAACTCACAAGCAGGACTCAGATAGCTGGAGCAGTCCTGGTTGACATGAGAGACAGACGCCACTGGAGCCCTCTGCCCTGCTTAGGGAAGCTCCTGAGGTGAGCCTGTGGTTTTAGGGAAGTGTTATGTTATATATATGTTATGTGATTTTAGAATCGTGGCAAAGTTCTTATAAACCATTTCAAAAATACAATTCATTGGCATTAAGCACATTAGCAATGCTGTGACACCATCACCACCATCTATTTTCAGATTTTTTTTTTGTTACCCCAGGAACTAATAATCCCCATTTGGCACCTTCTTGTTACTTTTTACCCATTTGAAATTTAAAACATCAGTCCTATGTGACGGTGCATGTCTCTAATCTCAGCACTCGGGCCCAGCCTGGGCAGCTTAGTTTAGGGAGATTCTATCTCAACACCCAAAATAAAGAAAACAATTGAGGTGGAGCTCAGGGTGAAGACCATGGGGTTCAATCCCAATCAGTCAATCAAGTAAAAATAAAGATAAAACATTCTTGTGATGACTGAGGAGCATTCCCTATAAGTCAGGGGCTGTGTATCAATAACTGTACCATAAAAGATCATGCTTAGGGGCTGGGGATTTAGCTCCGTGGCATAAGCACCTGCCTTGCAAGCAGGCGGTTGTGAGTTTGATCCCTGGTACCGATAAAAAGTTAAAAAAAAAAAAAAAAAAAAAAAAAGATCGTGCTTGGGTACAGGCATGTTCCACTAGAGTTTCAGGACCTGCAGAAACCTGTGTTGGGCTTGTGTGTGCTCCAAGCCCTTTTGTGGGTAGAGATCTAAAGGCTTCATTCTGGTGTCCTCAGGCTTTTGGACACAGAGATATCTTCTGGTCTGGAGGAGGCAGCCTCTTCTGGTAGATGCTTAGCCAGATTTAGCCAGGCGAGACACAGACAAGGACATTGATGGGAAGTGGTCACTCAGGGCTGCAGTCACTTCCTGTTCGAGTATAGCTTGTATTTACCCCCAGATGCTGATGTGCACACCTAGTTAAATACTTCTGTTGGCCAACAGTTGGGTACAGCTAGAGAAATATTCTTATAATAAGATTTAGCCAGGGATATAGCTCGGAGGTGCAGTGTCCACCTGGCAAGCATGAGGTCATGAGTTTAATTCACGGTACCAAGAAAAAATATCAAGATTTAAAAATTATTAATATTTGAATATTCCCATACAAAGTTAAACAACACAGATGAAGTGAAGTTCCCCTTTGACCTCTCCAGCCTACTGTACTGTCTTTGATGTCCTATCAGAGGGGACCACTGTCCCCACCCTGGACTCTGCAGTTTCATATGCATAGAGAGATACCAGGTTTTTATTTTTCATAAATTGGATCAGGTGATTCATACTGGTTTTTCAACTTGCTTTTCAGTTTCTCCTAAAATGTTCTGGAAGTCTTTCCACATTGACATACATAGTTCTTTCTGTCTTTTCTACTGCTACACCAGTGTTTATATTATGAAGGAGACACTCCCAGTTATGCCCCAAGACACTCTTGTGTACCCTTGCCCCTTGGGTATCTCTGTATGTTGTGAAGCAGGGATGGTTCCCATTTTCTCATTCTGCTGGGTGCGGTAGATAAAAAGGTGCTGCACTGTCATTTCCCGAGTGGTGAGGTTCAATCCCTTTTCATCATGTCTATGTGAGTCTTTTATATTCTAGGTATGTCATTTGTCATAGATTGTCACATATTTTTCCTAAACCTGTGCTATCCATTATGTATCTGTTAGCTCATCTATCTGTATGAATTTAAATTTAGATTTAAATTAACTTCAGTAAAATAAAAAAAATTCCTTGGATGCCAGAAAAAATCCTCTTGAATTCTTAATGGAATCTTTTTATACAGATATGTGGTTTATTCCGCTTTGGGGTAGAACTTTGGATTTCTCTTCAGGTTTTCTACCTATTCTTGAATCAGTTTTAATTTATATTGTCTTTTTCTTTTTTCTTTTCTTTTCTTTCTTTCTTTCTTTCTTTTTTGTCTTTTTGAGACTGTCTTGTTATGGGATTCAGGCTGGCCTTTAGCTCACTTTATATGCCAAAAAAGTCTTAAACTTGCAACGATCCTCCGCCTCAGCCTTCTGAGTGGTGGGCTTACAGGTGTGCACCACCATGTCTGACCTACCATATACATTTTCAAACTTACTGGTATAAAGTCTGTACATAACATTTTAAGATTTTTTAGAATTCTTTTTGTATCTGTGTGTTCCCTTTATCACCTCTGTTTTTATCTTCCTACTTTTTTGGGTTTATTTTGTTGTCTTTGTAATGTTGCAATCTGTTACCCATCCATCTATTCATTTATTTACTTATTTATCTATTGGCACTGGGAATCTAGGTCAGGACCTTGTACTTCCCAGATGGGTGCTTATGCCACTGAGCTACATCTCTAGTCCTGAAGTCTGTTATTCAGTTTCCTGTTTTCTCACCCATATTGTTCCATCTACTGATTATCAGCTTTTTTTTTCTCTTTGTTTCTTCCTTCCTTTCTTTTTATACATTTTTTTTTTTTGTCTTTTTCCTTTTTATTGGTACCAGGGATCGAACTCACGATTGCCTGCTTGCAAGGCAGGCGCTTATGCCGCTGAGCTAAATCCCCAGCCCACCTTCCTTTCTTTTTGAGACCGGGTCTCTCCATGTAGTACAGCCTAGCCTTGAGCTCACTATGCTGGGATTATAGGTGTGTACCACCATGCCTAGCTGAATTTGAACTTTTCATTGAAATGTAACAGTGTGGGTGCCCAGATCACAGGTTCTATAAATTCTTGCACCCATGTAACCAGTACTCACAACCAGAGACACCATTTCCCTCAGAACCTGTGCCCTTTAATGTAGCCATTACCCTGATTCCTAACTCATGACTGAGTTTTTTAGGCTTTGCTCTCACATGAGTGGAATCATGTGGTATGTATTCTGTATTTTTTATTTTTATTTTCTGGTACTGAGCATCAAACTCAGGACCTGATGTTTGCCAAGTGGGTGCTGTGCCTCTGAGCTCTATCCCAGCCCTGTATTCTTGAGGGTCCAAAGGACATGTATCCTCACAGCTCTTTATGTTCTGAAGTGAGGCAGGCAGAGCACCTCTGCAGACCTGTGCGCCTCGGGTGTGAGATGTGGCTGGGTGCAGTGTGTGGGGCACTCTCAAGATTGGCTTTAATACAAGGGTGGCACAGCACTGTCCTGGGTGCTGATGCCTCAGTTCTGTTGGCCTCGGTGAAGAAAAGTATGTTACCAAACAGCAAAGGGCTGCACAGGTCTGTGCACCGTGTTACCACCCCAGAGCCTGGACCCAACGAGTAGAGGGACCACAACAGTGACTTGGGACTTGGTTGTCCTAACCACTGAGCAGCTAGGGGTGCCCTCTACATTTTGAAGCCTGGCTCTTTTCTCCGTGTTGCCTGGGGACTCCCAAGACTCTACCTGGCTCTTTTCCTTAAGGTTCTCTGCTTGGAGGACCTGTCCTTGGCACCTGAGCCACTCACTTATCCTTCCTGCATTTTTTCCTTTGCTCCTACTTCTCTGTCTGCCTTTATCCTGTCCTTTCTTTTTCTCCCTACTCCCTCTTCCCCATTTTCCTTTCTCCACTAGACTGCCGTCCCTCCAGCTCCTCTCCATCTTCCATGTACTCATTCCTCTCCACTCCATCAGCAGCTGCTGACCTCTCCTCATCTCCTCTCTTTCCCTGTGGCAGGAGATGGGCTGGCGATGAAGATTAAGCAGGAGAAGCCAGAGAGTCTGCTGCAGACGCTGGCGTTGGCGGGCCAGGCTGCGCTCCCCGAGAAGGACGAGGAGAACATCTGCCAGCAGCATCAGAGCTTCCCATCATGCCAGACCATGGGGCGCCTGCGGGCTTTGGGGGTGCAGGAGGAGCCCGGGCGTCCAGGGTGGGCCCCTCCTCCTGAGTCCGATGTAAAGCTGGCAGGTCGGGCCCCTGGGACAGGCGCAGGCCCTCTGAGCCGTGCACTTTCTGCGGGCGAGGGTCACTTTGTGTGCATGGACTGCGGGAAGAGGTTCAGTTGGTGGTCGTCCCTGAAGATCCACCAGCGCACCCACACTGGGGAGAAGCCCTACCTGTGCGGCAAGTGTGGCAAGAGGTTCAGCCAAAAACCCAACCTGGCCCGTCACCAGCGGCATCACACGGGCGAGCGGCCTTTCTGCTGCCCCGAGTGCACACGGCGTTTCAGCCAGAAGCAGCACTTGCTTAAGCACCAGAAGACCCACTTGCGACCCACCACGCATTCATGTTCCGAGTGTGAGCGCTCTTTCCGCCACCAGGTGGGCCTGCGCATCCACCAGCGTGCACACGCCCGGGACCGCCAGGGTGCGCGCACCCGCCTGCAGGAGGCGCTACGGGACCCAGCGGTGCGCAGGGCCTGTCGCCTGCGGCCGGGGTCATCTCGAGGGCGTCCTGAGTGGGCCTGGCTAGGGTTGTGCCAGGGTTGGTGGGGCCAGCCTGAGGCCCAGAACTCAGTCCCAGGCCCCTCAGGGCCTGGCAGGGAGCAGCGCCAGTTCATATGCAGCGAGTGCGGCAAGAGCTTCTCGTGGTGGTCATCGCTGAACATCCACCAGCGCATCCACACAGGGGAGCGGCCCTACGCCTGCCCCGAGTGTGGCCGCCGCTTCAGCCAGAAGCCCAACCTCACGCGGCACCTGCGCAACCACACCGGGGAGCGGCCACACCCTTGCCCGCACTGTGGCCGCGGCTTCCGCCAGAAGCAGCACCTGCTGAAGCATCTGCGTACACACCTGCCTGGCCTGCAGGCGGCTCCATGCTTCCGCTGTGGGCAGAGCTGCCCGAGCCGTGCTGCGCTGCGTGCCCACCAGCGCGTGCATGCCTCGGAGCTGCTTCACCCTGGGCCCGCACTCCAGGACAGGAAGACACATCCTGAGCCAACCATTGAGGGTTCCGGGGACCTGGACTCTGTGCAGCTCTGCAGTCCCCAGGGGATAGGGGATGCTCTGTGGGGCCAGGCGGGGCCCAGCGAACAGCGCCAGTTCATCTGCAATGAGTGCGGCAAGAGCTTCTCATGGTGGTCCGCACTCACCATCCACCAGCGTATCCATACAGGCGAGCGGCCCTACGCCTGTCCTGAATGTGGCCGCTGCTTCAGCCAGAAACCCAACCTAGTACGGCACCAGCGTAATCACACAGGGGAGCGACCCTACCTGTGTGCTGCTTGCGGCCGCGGCTTCCGGCAGAAACAGCACCTGCTCCAGCGTGTCCACCGAGGAGCCTTGGCGCCCCGGCCTAGTGCCTGTCAGGAGATGAAGGAGGAAGAGGTGCTGTAGGGTGCTTGTGCAGTATGTATGGGGCCTGGGAGGGCTGGCATGCTGGCATTTCCCCAGAGACCCACACAAAAGGCAGTTCCTCCAGACGCTGAAGCCTGAGAAGGGAATTCCAGCAGCATCCTGAGTGTGCCTCGAAAAGTGGCCAGGTTGTGCTGACACAGGAGGTGAGAGCTACACTCCCCTCAGACCTGGGCCCCACCGTGTGCTGTGCACCATCAAAAGGTAGACCTTAGGCCCCTGGGGCTTTGGGTGAGGGGGCTGTCCTGGTCCCTGAGAGAGACTTCTGATGTGAAACGGCCAGGATTGGTGAGCTGCATCTCCAGTCTGCCACACTCAGACTGCAGGGTAGCCTGGGGGCTGTCTGCGTGGGACAGTGGCCACAAGCTCCGGAAACCAGGTATGAAGCAGAGGTGGTGGGTAGGGAGGGACAGGCATATTCCCAACACCAAGGATGTTGTTCTTCTTTAATGACTGTCCAATAAATATTTCTGGAGAACTGAATAGTTTGGTGTTTCTTCTCCATGGCTAAGTGTCCCTGCTGCCCAGGGTGCTGAGGACTGGCTGGCTGTGGCTGACTTGGATCCTTATCCACCCAGGAGTTGAGAAGAGAAAAATGAAGGCCTACTCCACATTGTCTCTGAGCCACCCTTGCTGAAGCCTGGGTCACACAGTGCTCCAGGAAATCTATCTGCCCGTAACCAGAGCAGGGAACTCACCCTGACACAGCAGCTTCCCTCTGCCAATTCTGGTTTCAGGAGAGGAGTTTTTTCCCTTCTGTCCTTCAGGTTCATTTGATATCTGTTCCTGCATAGGCCTGGACCACTTGCCACCTCCAGCCTGCCTCTGCTGGTCTTGGTCCAGTTCTTTGATCACAAACTGAAATCCCATACTGTGAGGTGTGCTGGGGTCATTGCCTATCTGAGTGTTTAGCTCTTGGAATCACGAAACCAAACCAGAAGGATTTTCTTGGACACCCCTCTGACCCTCACTAGTTCTGGGGTGTCCCTTCTTTCCCCCTCAGGCTCTGCCCCTCTCCTGCAGCCCCTTTCCCAGGGGGCTTTGACTTGCTCAGAAGGTGCACAGTACCCTTGGTTACATTAAAACCTAACCTAGCCATGGAGGGAGCTCCGAAGTTATTTGCTTCTTCCTCTTTGCCACTTAGCAAATCCCACAGTCAGTCTAAGCAGGCTCACCCACTCCAGGGAAGTATCTGTGCACCATCGTTCACTCCTGGGTGGGAACCCACTGTGTGCAGCGTGGGACCTGCAGGAACACAGGATCCCCGCAGCATCAGGCAATGCAGATGCTGGAGAGAGTGAGCTGGCATGGGGGTTCTCTTCCGCAAATGGCCTGTGTTTGACAATAAAGTGCAGTGTGGGTAGAACTGGAGGTGAATGAGACCTCATGGCAGTTCCCACTCCTGCAAATTCCTGAGGACACTCCCTTACTTTCCCGGGGTGACTGACTGACACACCAGTGCTTCGGGTCCTAAGGGGGCAGGGCCAAGTCCCCTAGCATGATGAGTTACCAATGTGTGTACTTGCTGACCAGGTCAGGCCTACTGTGTGCCAGGCGTGTTACTAGACTTGCCCCATGAGTAAAATACACCCTGCCCTTGAGCCCAAAGATCTTTATGGAAAACCAATTTGATAACACCAGTGAGTTGGAAAATCTATACAGTTCATTTGGAACATCTCAGCAAGGCCTTCTTATTCCTGTCTCACATGGTTGGTGATATTGGTAGGGCAGTGATGGTGCCATTTGACAGGAAAATGAGGCTGGGCCAGTATGACTTGTTCTTTGCTGCAGACTGACTGTAGGTCCCAGGCCTCCAGTTATCCCGTGTCCAGTAGCAAAATCAAGGACTTCTCTAAGAATGGCATAGCACCATCAACTCCAGGTTTCATTTCCTTTCATTTAAAGTGATAACAGTGGGTCAGAATATTTCAAGAAGCGATGTCTCATAAAATCAAAGACAAGGTCAGACTTGTTATCCTAGTGTCTTCCTATTTAAGACACTGTGGAGAGATTACAGGGGTGCACAGGGGAATGAAAACAACCATGAATACACAAAGATCTTAAAGGATTCAGGCTTGCAACAAGCCACATCCACTGGGTGGGGCTGGGATTACTGGAATCCCTTGTTCTTTTATTGGGAACAGGCTTTTATTAGAAAAATACTAGGTACTTGAACAGTGGCAATTTTTTGGCAAGCAACATGAACATCAGGTCTACATGTGAGGCCTTCAGGCCTTGTGGGAGGGCTTGGTGCTCATTACTGGGCCCCATGGTATCAGGGCACAGCCGTGGGGATCTGTCCAAGGAAGGCCAAGGAGCAGCTGTTCAGCATGCAAAAGTGCACTGATCAAGGGACAGAGCAGGCCCAGTGCCACTGGGGACCTGGCAGAGAAACTGGCAAAGGAGGGGTGCTTCTGAAACCTTTCATTATTTTTAACATGGTTTGAGCTGGGTAAAGAAATATCTTTGACCTTTTGGCAAGAGGAGGAATGTTGGTACCAAAAATAGTATGTTCTCATTTATCACTGTTCTTTCTAGGTGCGGGCCGGGACAGCACAGAGAGGGAAGAGAGGTATCACTTAGGTTGTCCCTTAGGCTAAAGAAAGGATGGGCACCCAGGTTGGAGGGGAAAGTGTCCAAGGCCAGTGCTATCCAACAGCATATGTTGTGACAGTTACTCTGTCTATGCCCCTAGTACCATTCCCACTAGCTAATGTGACTTATAACATGGATGAGAAACCGGATTTTAACTTGTCTTCATTTTAATTCATTGAAATGCCTAGGAAAGATGTTCATATTGGCAAGGAGTTAGAAGCCTTATCTTCCCTTCTTCACCTTCCCTCCTTTTCATACATGACCCAAATCTAAAAAGACCTTTGATCCTTTGGTTGGAAGAACTATAGTCAGATAGTCCTGGCTTTTGCTCTTTAAGTTATGGAACCCTGGCAAAGTATACTAATAACTACCATTGACTGAGTTCTGGGCATTTACAAGCACTCAATAAATGGTGGCTATTATAATTATTTTAAATAAGCTCCACGTGTAAGCCAGATATGAGGCATATGCCAGTAATCTTAGCACTCCGGGAGGCTGAGAGAGTAAGACCACAAGTTTGGGCCCAGCAACTTGTGACTTAGTGAGATCTTGTCTCAAAATAAAAAATAAAAAATAAAAAAAAAATGCTAAGGATGTAGCTCAGTGTGAAGGTCCTGGATTCAGTCCCCACTACTGCAAAAACAAACAAGATTACGTAGATAAGGGCTAGGGATACAGCCCAGTGGCACAGTGCCTGCCTGGCAAGTGCTAGGTACTTAGTTCAATTTCTAGTACCTCCCCCCAAAAATATTAAATAAGTAAATACCATGCATGGCTGCATGGGGATGTGTGTCTGTGGAGACAGAAGAAAATATTCCCCCCCTGTTTAGTTCAGTGTTTAAGAATGCGAACCTTTGCCTGGGTTAAGCAGGCCTGCCACAAGTTAAGGTTCTGGTTCAGTTGATGTCGTAGGTTATTTCTTGGTTTTTTTTGAACTTACCAAAACAATATTGAATAGAGCAGTACCATTAATCTTAATAAAGCAAAACAGTAATAAAAATATTTGCCTTCAAAAAGATGGTAGAAGGAAATCCCCCTTATTTGCTATGGTCAACCTCCCAAGAGATGCTCAGACCTTTGGTTCCCGTTTGCTAACGGGACGGGGGGGGGGGGGAAGGTTACAGGGGAAGTGGATGATTGACTTTCAGCCCATGCATCAGTAGGCTCATTATTGCTTAGCAGGGAGGCAGCCTGGTTGCTTGGTTCCCAGCGCCCCAAGTTCCAACATGGCGGGGATCTCAGGAACTGCTGGTAGTTCTCCCCCTGGAGAGGCCACAGCCCGGATGTCGTAGGTTATTTCTTGGGTTTTAATTCTAAAGTTTAGATCAGATGAGACCTCACACCAAGAGTTCCCGTCTTTGCCCTTCTGCAGCCCCTCCCGATTCTCTGCTGCTCTTCCCGGTTAAAGTTATTCAGCCCGAAATGCCTCATGTCTGCATTAGCATGCTTGGGGCCATATTTTCCTTCTCCGGCTGCCCATCTGAGCTGTCAGATGTAGCTTGGAGACATTCATGTATTCATTCACTCATTCATTCGACATAGACCAAAGATGATTATTATATCCTGGATCTTTAATGTACAGGGATGCTAAAAACACAGTCCTTGTCCTTCGAATTTCGCAGCCTGATGGGAATAACAAAAGTGTGCTGAATCAAATCTGAGGCCAACACCAAATGATTTCGAGAGAGGTATGAGGAACACTGATCCCTGAGAACAGGAGAAGCTCATGAGGGTGGGGTGGTTGTCACTCCAAGTGTGAGGCCCTGGGGACTCAGCCTTCTGCAGGAGAAACTGCAGGATGGGCAGAGTAGGGTCTGAAGCTTGAAGTAGGTTTCTTGGTTACTTTTTTTCTTGCTACTGGCACAAAATACCCAACACCCAAAATGAAGGAAGGAAAGGTTTCTTTTGCTCAAGTTCACACAAGGCATCAACCATAACACCAAGGTCATCTGCCCATCTAGTGTGCCCCAGGGTGAACATAGGGCAGGGCTCTGGACAGTCCCCGCTGGGCGGTCTTTTCCTTTGTCTGCATAGGAGCCTTGGGCCACCAGTGGTTCCTGAGGATGCCTTGGCTGTGGGCAGCCCCAATCTTTGTACAGTCCAGAGTCCAGAAGCCACCTGCCATGCGGGATGGTGGAGAACACACACTGGCCACTGTCCGGCCCAGAGGCAGCAGCAGGACTGTGGATTTAGAATGCTTTGTGAGGATGAGTGGGAGCTGGGGGAGGCAGGAGATACACGTGTGTGAAACTGGAGAGGTGAAGCAACTCATCCAAAGGCACAGTGGCAGATTAGAGAATGGACACCCTTGGTCCTTGACATTTCCCACAGACACCCGGGGCACAGCTTACCTGGACAGTGCCGTTAAATATGTGAGTGTCATCCTCAGGTATATTACTGATTCTGCTTTTGAAAACCTCGATCTTCACAGAATGTCTCCATTTTTCGTGTGGTGTATGGGAGATAAGGAAACCTGGTATCCAGGCAGGTGACAACTTCTGCAAGAGAAGCTGGAGTGCTCTGAGGTGTGGCTATCGTGTGAGCAGAGGGACGGTGGGCTGCCACCAGCAGTCAGGAGGTCCTGTTGGCACTGACATGGGAAGTCTAAGCTTGTCCCTGGGATAATACATTGGTCCTGACCAGCATGCCCCTCCCTGCTGCTTCTATTTAAAACACTAGTTTCAGGGTCAGGGATTTAGCTCAGTGGCTTAAGTGCCTCCCTGTCAAGTACAAATTCATGAGTTCAATCCCTGGTACCAAAAAAATAAAATTTTTTGGGATGATAATGCACATGTCCAGGGACCTCTGTGAGATGCTGCAGGAGCAGTGGGGTGGAGAAGGCAATGATGGGTCAGACTAGGCCAGCTGGACCTGTTGGCCACCAGGTCTGGTATCTATGTGAGGTGCTGACCTACCGCCCAGGGGCCTCTCCTGAGATGCTTTAGTCCTAGTGTCCAAAGGCACAAGGAGCACCAGTAGGACTGACGCTGGGAGGGAGTCTTCATGTCCCTGCAAGCCTAAGTTGCTAAAGTAGCTTACAGCCGCAGCCAGCATTTGCCAGGAGAAACTGTGCCTGGGTCTTGGAGATCTCAGTGACTCCCTTCCCCTGGCAGCCACTATGGGGCCACAGTAATTTTTTTTTTTTTTTTTTTTTGTCTTTTTCCTTTTTATCGGTACCAGGGATTGAACTTGCGACTGCCTGCTTACAAGGCAGGCGCTTATACTGCTGAGCTAAATCCCCAGCCCCTGGGGCCACAGTAATGTAAATTAAATAACACCCATGTAATATGCTTCTGGCACTTGTAACTTTAAAGTCATGTTCCCTGCTAGGCCTGTTTATCTGTCAAATGTGAATTTTGAATTCTTGAACTCAGAATTCTTACAATCATCTTTTTTTCTTTTTCCTTTCTGGTCTTTGGGGAAGGGTCTCACCATGCAGTTCTGGCTGGGCCTCAATTCATTATGCAGCCCAGGCTGGCTTTGAACTTGAGGCAGTGGTCTTGCTTCAGCATCCCAAGTGCCAGGATGACAGGCACCCGCCATCACGCCCAGAACCATCGCATACTTCGTGTCAAAGAGGTCTTGTGGGAGTGGCTGTCTGGGGCCCAGCATGGTGCAGTGGCAAATGCCAGTCATAAAGCTGCCTTTTCACTAGGCTCTGCCACTTAAGAGCTGCAGGTCTTGGGGGAAGCCACTCTGCTTTATTTTTCCCATCTATAAAATGGGATAACAGCTGCCCAAGGAGACATGCACAGGGATATTGGAAGTTCCCACGTGCTAATACATGGGGAAAGTGTGTCAAAGGCAGAGGCACGTACAGTTAAAAGGAATTATCATTTAATGGCAGGGGGACCTGAAGTTTAGCCTATCACACCTGCTGTTTTTCTGTGGTCTGTCTGCAGCTCAACTTCAGAGGACTCAGTACCATTCCTTCCCCCATCCCCTCTGGCCATCCTAGTGACAGGACCAGGCTGTCTAGGAGGAAGGCTTTGCCCAAGGCTGGCAGGAAGGGCCGCTGGCTCTGTGATTCTGCCCTTTGGAATCTCCCACCCAGGAACCAGAAACTCTGGGATGCTCCAGCTGGCCCCTGTATTACCACCTTTCCTCTCAGGGAAAGGGGTGCTACCTCCGGTTCCCCCATCCTGCTTCCTAGTGGCCTGGAGCAGCAGGCTGGGAAACTCTGGGGGCCTGAACTGGCCCCCACTGGCCTCCTCTCCTGCCAGAGCAGGCGCAGCGACAGCTAGCAGCCTTCCTTCTTCCGCCACCAGGTTGTCGGCGAGGCGGACCTCCCAGCCTCACGGGACTGCTGTGCGGCTGCGGACGTCGCGACTGCGGCGCTGCGGCGGGGACGCGGCCGGGGAGGCGGCGCCATGTGAGTCCGGGCCTGGCGGGCGGGCAGCGGCGGCGGTTACCGTATTTACCGAGGCCAGTGCGGGACCCCGAGGGGCGGGTCACCGCAGGCCGCTACCGTATTTGCGAGAGCCGCCTGATCCTGCCCAGAGCAGCGGTGCAGCTGCTTAATTACGGGTTTACCCGGGGTCACTGGGGTGCTTTGGGGGCGCTGCGGGTGCGGGAGGCGGGTCGCATCGGTTCCCCCGGGGAGCCAGGGCAGCAGCAGGGCAGGGCGGACCGCGGCTGGGTGGCATCCTAGGTATCTTCGGGGGGGTGGGGCTGCGACGCACAGGGACCGAGTAGCTCCGGGGACGCTGCGGCCCGAGGAGCTGGCGATGCTGTGCGCGGGGTCGGCGGGGTGCGGGAAGCGCTCTGGATTCGCGCAGCTGCTTAGCAATCTCAGGGTTGCGGGAGGCTTCTGTCTTTATGGGGGCGGGGAGCAGAGGCGCGGGAGTCGCTGCGGGAGCCGCACCGTGTTTGCGTCACGCGGCGCGGACTCTAGAAGAAAGCGTCGCCGCTGGAGACCCGGGGAGGAGCTGGGGTGCAGCTCAGGCTGTGAGTGTAGCCCGGAGGGAGGGACAAAGCCTTGGCCTTGGGACCCCGGGAAGGGCGGGGCCTCGGTCGAGGGAACAGTGGGGAAAGAGAGCATGCTGCCCAGCCAGGGCCAGGCCAAGGTTGGCAGAGGAACTGCATGGTCCATCCTTACAAATGTCAGTGCAGCTACCTGGGGAGAGACTTGTGGGTGGGGTTCGTGGCCAGGGAACTTGTCTATTACCCAGGCCTTCCCTGAAGGTCAGGGAAGACACAGGAGTGCGTTTTTGAGAGTCCACTCTGCAAGTGCATGAAAGGAGGCTGTAAGAGTAGAGAGGGACTGCAGGAAGTTCAAGGGGGCACCCAAGAGCCTTCTTGATGGGGTGTGGGATGGGTGAAACCTTCATGCCCAGGAGCTGTCTTGCAGGGTATGGGAGTGATGGCATTAGACAGGAGCAGTGGCCTTTTAGGAATGGATGGCCCTGCAGGAGCTGGGATGGGAGTGGTGGGTTCCTCCATGTGCATGTGGGTGCGTGCCTCTCTGTGTGTGTGTGTGTGTGTGTGTGTGTGTGTGTGTGTGTGTGTGTGTGACTGAAGGGTGTGCAGTGGTGAACAGCTGGTACACTGAGAAGAGCTTTCAACAGTGAGCCCAAGATTTAGGGCTTAAGTCACCTTGCTCTGTGACCTTGGACAAGTATGTTGACTTTATCAAGCTTCAGGTGCCCCACTTATAAATGGGGCTCACTCATCTGCTCTATACCTGTGCAGGGCTGCTGTGGGGACAGTGGGAAATGTTTAAGAGGGGGTGCAGTGATCTGAGAAGGAGAACCCTAGGAGGATCAGGGGAAGGGACTAGGTGCTTAGCAGTTTGCTGTACTTTGAGCTCCTGTGTGTCTCAGCCTGAGGCCAAGCCTTCTGCTCAAGCTGAGACTGATGCTCCATTCTACATGTGCCCTGTAGCCTTTTAAATTCAAGCCCTATTTTGATAGAGGAGCTGCCTTTAATGTCTAACCCTGGAGGGTCTCTTCCCAGTTTACAAGGTTTTATATTTTCTGCTGAAAGCTTTGCAAAAATGTCTTTACACCATCGATGACCCTCCAGCTTGGGGTGTGCTTTCCTTTGCCTTTCTTTGAGTCTGGTTGGAGATATAAGGTGCACATAGGTAAAGCATTACTTAAAATACCCGGAGTCCATAAATATCACCTTCTGCACTTGTGTGGCGGGCACAGTGCTCAGCGCTCCAGTTAGGGTAGCTCTGTCATGATGATGAGAGTTGCAGGGTTGGACAGCAAGGTTTACAGAGAAGCTGAAGGAGTCAAGGAAGGTTTCTAGGTGGAGGTGGCACCTGAGAAACGTCCAGGGTAGGCTGTGACGAGGAAGGAGGGGAAGTTTAGCTATAAGAAAAATGTATCAGAGGTTGGGGGAAGGTAAGCGACCCCTTGGAGTGGTTGTTGGCTGACCCTTGGGTCCACTCTGACCCCTCTCTTGCTTCTGTTTCCTCAGGGGCTCGTGACTGCAGCTGAGAGCGCCCATGACTGAGCTGGTGTCCTCCGAGGACGGGTCCCCTACGGGGGACGGGGAGGAGGGCCTGGGGGACGAGCGAGGCCTGGTCATCCACCACCCTGCGGAGGAGCAGCCCTACAGCTGCCCGCTGTGCGGCCAGACCTTCTTGCAGCAGCCCAGCCTGGTGCGGCACCAGAAGGCGCACGCCGGGGCTGGGCGCACCGCTGCCTTTGTGTGCCCGGAGTGCGGCAAGGCCTTCAGCGTCAAGCACAACCTGGAGGTGCATCAGCGCACGCACACCGGCGAGCGGCCCTTCCCCTGCCCCGAGTGTGGCCGCTGCTTCAGCCTCAAGCAGAACCTGCTCACGCACCAGCGCATCCACAGCGGCGAGAAGCCGCACCGCTGTGCACAGTGCGGCCGCTGCTTCCGGGAGCCGCGCTTCCTGCTCAATCACCAGCGTACGCACGCACGCACGCCCACACCGCACCCGCGCCGCCCCGGCGTCTTCGGGGAGCGGCGTCCCTATTTCTGCCCGCGCTGCGGCAAGAGTTTTGCGCGTGAGGGCTCGCTCAAGACCCACCAGCGCAGCCACGGCCATGGGCCCGAGGCCCCGGCGATCCATTTAGGCAGCGTGCTATGACGCCTACGCTGTCTGCCACCATAGGCTGCCTGCAGACCCGGAGCCGCGTTGGAAGCCTTGGAGGTTACCTTGGGCTGTGGTTGCCGCTCAGGATGGGCATCTGGGAGAAGGGAAGAACTGGCTTGGGGGTCCGAAGGGCTCGGGCCGCCCTTTTTCTCTCCTTACCCAGGGCCCTCCGGGTTTTTGTGCGTGCACACAGTGGCATTTGGCTCCTGCATTGGTTTTGCTCTGCAGGCTCCTGCTGCCTAGGGCAGGTGAGCCCTGCAGATGGGGTTCAAGGGTGGGGTGTGTGGTGCTGAATCTCCATATCTGGTGGAGGTGCGGGGTGTCCTGGATATGCAGGTGGTGCAGGTCTCTGTATGACCCGCTGCTTACCAGATCTTCGGTCCCAGAATGTCAGAGCTGAATGCATCTTGGAGAGGACAGCTTGCTACAGTTCCCCAAACCCATTCTCAGCCCTCAAGGCCTCCTGCCTCCGGCTCCCCCTTTCTGGTGTCCTAGGGAAATTATCCTACTTCATGTCTCAGTTCATGCATCTATAAGTTGGGGATGGAGACCAGAGACTCCTGCTCCGTGGGCTGTGAGAATTGGCCCGAGAAGGGTGATGCCACTTGTCCAAAAAGCTTTGGCTGAGAACTCACTCTGTGCCACCTGCTCTGCTGTGTTCCACCCTGGGAAAAGCCACAGGTGAGCACCCTGGGCCCAGATGTGGGGGCACCGACACCTGTGTGTGACCAGTGCCTGTACAGAGGGCTGTGGGCTGTGCAATAGGGCAACCTGTAAAACACTCCAGGATCAGAGGTGACTGGCTTCACCCAGGGAACTCTGGTGACTTTGTACCCAGTCTTGAAGACACTTAGAGTTGCTGCAGGAAGAGCAAGCCTGTGCAGGGATGTCTTCAAGGGGAGCAGCCCATTGAGGAGGCTCAGACATGCCTTATGAAGGACTTGGTGAGGCGGAAGGCACATCTGAGATTTTAAATGATAAACACGCGATGAGTTCAGAACTGAGGCTCTGGGAGGGCAGATAGACAAGCAGGAGCCTCAGGGTGATCCAGCAGAAGAGAGTGAGGCCCCAGCTAGACTGCTTTACCACGGTCGAGCAGTGACAACTGAGAAAGCCAGGACTCTGCCTGCCAGTTGATGCCCTGAGTTTGGGGCCTCATCTGTTGTTCAGCAGATGAGGAACCTGAGAGCCCAAGTTTGCCCCAAATCATAGGAGTGCCCCGTGGGACAGCGGGTGAAGCCAAGGTTTTGTTGTGAGTTCTAGACCCTTGTAACCTTTCAATTCTACTGCTGAAAAACAGAAAATAGAGGATCTTAGCATGTGGCCAGGAGTTGTGTGAAAGGATCCTGGGTTATCTAGGGGCCTAGGTGGCTGAAGGCATGCAGAAGACACATACCTTGGGATGACTTTGAGAGCACCTTTGAGAGCTGTCCCTTCATGCCCAGGCCTGTGCTAGGTCCTGCAGATCCATCTCTGTCCTTGGCCTGCCACCCCAGTGGTTATTGCAATGGAGATGAGTATTTGGTGGCTGAGAATAAGTTAAACAGGGTCTTAGGGCATCTGGAGCAGTCACATAAGTGCCCTGAACCTCAGATGTCTCGAGTAAATGGGGTTAATATCCTGGCAGTGCTTGGAAAGGGGCTGAGAGGTCTTGCTCAAAGCCCTAACCAGACTCAGAGTGGGCTACCTGAGGGCCCTTCCTAGCCCTGTACGTGTGCTGGGGTGGACAGGGCCAGGCACAGCAGCAGATCTCACCTTGATCTTTTTGTTTCTGTGAACAGATGCAAAGCGGGCACAACCTCCTGACCTGGGAGGTGCAGGGCACATCTGGGCACAGAGATTATGAATTGAGTCCCACAGGAGCCTGGCTGGCGCTGCACCCTGGCATGAGGACACATCCCCTAAGAAGACCTACCTCAGGAGGTGCCTTGCAGTGACCTGCAGGAACCTGATGAAGCCTGGAACTACAGGCTGATTTCTGATTCCAAGCCTTGGTGGGAAAACTCTCCAGGCCTGGTGGGAGTCTTGGCTGGGCAAAGGCTTCTCAACTTGCATGGCCACGAACCCTGACTCTTGTGTGGCAGTGGTGGGGATGACACCTGAATGAAGAGCTGGCTTCTCCGCCCCTGCCTTGTCCACACTTGGCTAATGTTCAGAGACAGAAAGTGACTGTCCAAAGCCAACACAGCAAGCCGCTGTCAGATCTGGCTCTAGGGTCAAACCCTCCCATCACAAGTGAGCCATCCCTTCACATTTCATTCTCCTTTTTGAGCCAGAAAGATCTTTCATACTGTGGGGTCATTCAACCTTTTGCAAATCTGCTGAAGGCTATGGACCTTGTCCCCAGGAGAACAAACACGCAAAAAATTTCAAGCAATTTCAGGAGCCCTTGGACTCCTAAACCTCAGCCTGGGGTCTTTACCTGCCACCCTTTCCTCACTGAGCCCCTGAGTCAAGGCCACCCTACATATAACGACCCCCCTGCCTCCTTCTCTTGTTGGGGAATAAAGAAGTCTGAGGTGGAAACCCTTTTAGTTACTCCCTTCTCCCAGACCTAGGCTTTAGAACTTGATTCCCTGTCCCCTGACATTGCCAGAGGTTCCATGGGCTGGTTTGTTTTTCGGGTTCTGCCTAACAGGCTGCTTGTTTGTGTGGTGGAGCCCTGTGTTCAACCCAGGCTCTGATTTCATGGTGAGGTCTTGGGGAAGCGGGCCTGCCGAGAAGGCTGGGGTTCAGGCTTTGACCACTTGGGGAAGGAATCCTGCTCCCCCCAACCACATCCAGACAGCAGTACTCCTGCTTCCAATCCTGCAGCCCCAGGCAGGTACTTCTGGGAGGACTGGGGAAGAGAAGGAGGTGAGTCCTGTGCAGTGTGAGAACCAAGTGGATGAGTCCTGTCCCCTGAGGGATCAGGACACAAGTGAAGGGAGCAGGTCCCCGGCCAGCTACAGGGCATGGAGTCAGCTTCCCATTTGAGCAGGTCAGTGTAGTTCTTCTGTGCTCACCTACCACCCATCAGAAAAGGGGGGACCTGCAGCGGTGGGAGGAAAACTTGTAACTTTTTGCTCTAGGGTCTTGTGGTTCTCTCTCCTGTGGATCTGGTTCCTGGTTCTCACTGCGTACCTACTATGTGCCTCTTCCTGGGATTGTAGATACCTTGGGAGGTCAGAGAAGCCAGAGATGCTCCACGATCCAGAGCGTCAATTTGGCCCTGTCCTTAAGTCTCAAGCTTCAGCTGCAAACCTCTCATGTGCTGATGGTCCAGCTTGCCTCTTCCTGCCATAACTGCTGTGCCGTCCCTGTGTTGCAGAAATGTCTCCCTTCCCTGCCCTCCCTTGAAGCCCCTCTTATCCATTAGGGCTGAGCGTCCCCAGCACCTGGCTGCTCTCCTGTGCTAACTTACCATGTCACTGTCAAGTACAACATGCTGTCACCTTCCAGTTTCCTCTGTCTCTGTGTGTGTCTTGAGCTCCCTGAGGGCAAGGGACTGTGTCATTTCTTCTTGAATCCCACCTGGGTCTAGTCCAGGGTTGGGCTTGTCACTCTCAGGAATCTCTTGTCAACTGGCTGATGGGGCAGGCTGTGGATGCAGGGCTGAGGGCCACAAGAGGAGAGGGTGTGGGAGTTAACCAGGGGGTGCATTTTATTGGGCTATGGGTGGGCTGACTTCCCTGGGTCAGTCGTGGGCACTGGAGGCCTCAGATCATCCCCTCCTTGGGGACAGTGGATGCGCAGGTATGCATGTAATGGTGGGCCAGGTAGGCTACTTCTGGAGTCACTGACACTTGCCTGAGCTGCCTGCATGGAATAAATGTTCTCTTTGATGGCAGCTGGTGTAAACAGTGGTCCTTGAGAGCTTAGCCAGGAATAGAGTGGTGACCTCTTTCTTAGTTCCCATCTCTTAAGGATAAGTTAGCTTCAAGGTGACTTGGGAGGTCAGTCACAATAGTAAACATGTATCAAAAACCCTAGCAATGAACAAACACAGGCTCCCTGCACCTGAGCAGATGAAGCCTTATAAACACAGGTGCAGAGCGCGCTGCCCTCCTTCTCCTGCCCAAGGGAGAACTGCAGCCAGCCACCTGCCTCACAGCCTGTCTCCTACAGCTGGTGCTGGGACGGTGAACTTGTGCCAGGGTCACCTGCCACCAAGTGGCCATGGGACTCAGTTGTTAACGGTAGAAGCTTGGCCTGGGCATGACCAAGGGTCACTCTAGCTCCTTGATCTGTCAGACTTGGATTTTCAGCCGCAGCTGTTCCCTTCATTGTTCAAGGAGGGTTGGGAGTGGCTTGGTTGCTAGGGAACCATGTTGTGGCACTGAAAGCTGGTTCCCTTGGGGCAGAGGATGTGAGTCAGGTGAGGCCTCTGACTCAAGCTGGTTGAAGCCAAAAGGACAATTACCGGCTCTTTCAACTGAGAAGGGCACTGGCTGGGAGGTGACGAGGACCTCAGTCCCTCTTGCTGTGTCTCTGGTCACCTGCCCTGGCAGACAGAATCTGCGGGGCTCCGTTCTCTGCCTGCCTGGCTCATTCCTTTCCCTGGTGCTTCTGAGACAGCCACAGGCCCTACTGTCATGGACCAAGCTCAGGTTTCCTCCTCCGTGAGGAGGGCTTTGGGTCCAGCGAATCTGGTGGCTCTGCTGCCTGGAGGGGAGAGGAGGAAATAAGGTTTTTCTCCTGGATGAGTTTGTGGGTGTAGAGACAGAGAGGCCGCTGTCTTTCAAGAGAACCTAAGGGTCAGTTGCTGTCATTACCTCACATCAATTGCACCCCTTGCCTGACTTTTTGTAAATTTTCTGGGAGTGCAGAGCCTGGTCCAGTAAGGAAAGGCAAAAAAGGGGGCTAGACCTAGGCAAAGTAGCAGGTGCTCATGAAAAGCAAAGCCTGGCCCCACTGTGCCCCGCCCACTTCCTGTCTCTAACTCTTATGCCTCCTTTGACATCTCCTAGCCTCTTTGTCCTTGCCCTGGTCTTGCCCACATGAGAGGATGCTGCAGTGGATGCTCTCACTGGGTGTCCCCCCACCCCAGCTTTTCCAGCTGTTGTAAGTGTTGGCTGCCAATAGCTCACAGCTACCCAGAGTGCAGGTGCTATCCCAGCCTCCCTGTGAGTGACAGCTGACCCGGGGCTGGCATGGTAGTGCAGCTTCTGCTCAGGGCTTCCCTGTGGGGTCAGGCTGAACTGGTCTCCTGCTGACTTGCCCCAGGACATCCCACTGGCCTCGCTGAGCCACCTGTGTGGTCCAGAGCCACTCTCGTCCTCCAGGGTCCTCTCAGCAATTCATCCCTGCAAACAAGAATGCATCTGGGGCCCTCCATCTAGGATCTCTACACGTAAGGCAGTGAAGAGCCTTAAGAATACCAACTCCAGGCAGCTTGACAGCCCTGGGAGATGTGACCAGTCTCTTGGGTTCTTCTGTGTGATGCTGGCATCTGCCGGCCTTCAGTGAGGAGCTGCCCATGGGTGCACGGATTACAGGTGACCCTCTCCAGGCTGGTGGACCTGAATGGTAACTTGGTAGCCCCTTGCCTCAACTGTAAGCACATCTCAACTGCAGACCAGGGACAGATGTGTAAATCCCAGGTCAAGGGCTGGGATCTAGTCCTACCAAGGTCCTTACCACTTTGACATTTAGTTTCTTTCCTTTTCCTTTTTTTGTCTTTTCTTCTCCTCCTTCTCCTCTTATTCTTCTCTCTCTCTCTCTGATTCTTCTCTGGTATATAAAAAGCAGTGGATGTGCTGTGTGTGGTGGCCCATCTGTAATCCCAGATCTCAGGAGACTGAAGCAAGAAGATTGCTATGAATTTGAGGCCAGCATAGGCTACATACTGAGACCCTGTCTCAAAAAAAAAAAAAAAAAAAAAAAAAAAAAAAAAAAAAAGGAAAAGAAACTTGTGGAGAGGCTGTCGGGCTTCCCCAAGATTGGCTTTAAAGCATGGGACTCCAAGAGATCCCTTGTTTACAGGAGCAGAAGGTGTGAGGAGGCCCCAGTAAACTGCCTCTGGCTCCAGGAGCTGGGAGGGGCTCAGTCTTTATTCAATCTTAAAAAGTCATGGGTTTAAGCACTTGCCTGGCAAGCGCAAGGTCATGAGTGTGATTCCAGGTACCAAAAAAAATGTACTGGGTTCCAGGCATGGCAGGGGGCAGAGCACAGGGCCTCCCCACGTCCCCCCTGAGCAGTGCTCCTTCCTGAGGTCGCTCCTTCCAGGCCTGCACTTGTTCCTTCTTCCTGCCGCTGTGCTTGGCTTTGATGGGGTTCAGGACTGGTTACCCCCAAATACGCATGTTGGCGTTTGAGAAAACAGCTGAAGCCACAAAATTGCTCTCCCTGTCCCCTCCCTTTGTCACCTGGACAAAGAGTGACCAAGAAAGAGTTCTCTGACCTTCCGGGAAGTGGGTCAGAAGGTGCTCATTCTGGAGGAGCCTTCCCTAACCGGGGGAAGGGAGAGAAGTCCTGGTCACAGGCCTTGCTGGAGGCCGGGTTATCACCTTCAGATCCCAGCCTTTGTCCTCCAGGCCCACATCTGTGGGACAGTCCACGAAACTGTTTTCTCTTCCTTAGGGCATTGGTTCCCCACAGCTCCTTGTCACATAAACATGCGTGAGATAAACCTGTGTGCGTTTCTCTTGCTAACGGGTTCCAGCCTGGGCCTCGAGGATGTGGCTCTGCTTTTCCTCCCCAGCAGTTCCTGGTGCCCTCATTGCTGTCTCACAGGCGCCCAAGGTCACCTTTCCCCCAGCTCCTCCCATGTGCTTGCTTAGCGTGGCCTGGGCTTCCCTGGGCGCAGGTTTTTAGGGTCAGGGTGGCAGAGGCCCAGAGTGGGATCCTGGGGGCTTGCTCACGAGGGAATGGAGGAAGCGGCCAGCACAGTTCCCAGAGTGGGGTGTTATGAGCTGTACTTTGGGCTTCCTGGCTTGTCAAGCTCTACTCTGTAGGTTTTTGTCCTCAAGGCCCCAAATTTTATTGTACAAATCTCTCATCTAGAACACATCCTGCATGCCTTCTGTTTTCTTTTTGGGGGAATGGGAGGATACTGGGAATCAAATTTAAGATCTCATACTTGCCGGGCAGGAGCTGTGCCACTGAGCTAAATCCCTGGCCCCTGTTCTTGGTTTTGAGCAGGGTCTTGATATAGTCCAGGCTTGATCTCACTATGTAGCCCAGGCTAGCCTGGAACTCAGGGCAATCCTCCTGCCTCAGCCTCCTAGGGGCTGGGATTACAGATATCCATCCCCCCAGCCCTGTCTCTTTTCTACAGATTATTTGGTTTTGTTTTTTGCAGTCCTGAGAATGGAACGCAGAGTCTCATGCATGCTAGACAAGCTCTCTACCACCCTGCTGATTGCTTCTGCTGCTTGCTTCCGATTCACTTTCACACATGTGCGTGTGTGCATGCGTGTGTGTGTGTGTGTGTGTGTGTGTGTGTGTGTATACTGGGAATTGAACTGATGCCTGGAAAGTATCAGGAGGTGGGCCTGGTTCCTTGGCCATCACTGGGGGTCTCTTCATGAAATTTTACAATTTGAGAAAGAGCCAGTTAATGTAAATTCCATTTTACTTTTATTTTTGGGGGGAGGTTTGGTACCTGGGTTCAAACTCATGACTTTGCCCTTGCCAGGCAGGCACTTACACCACTGAGCTGGATCCCCAGCTGTAAATTCTATTTTAAACAATAAAGCAACTTCCAACAGACACCAAAGCCACTGGTAGATGGAATTTGGTGAGCACTATACAGTGAAATTAGAAGTTGCTAACAAAAAGAGCAAATAGAAGCTTCTGCTTACCCCAAGGATTTCAAAACAATGAATAATTAAGATCAAAGAAGAAACTGTAGGGGCCGGGGTTTAGCTCAGTGGCACAGTGCCTGCCTGGCAAGCACAAGGTCATGAGTTCCATCTCCAGTACAAAAATAAATAAATAAAAAAGGAAATTATAAAATACAAATGAATAACTAGAAACACCACATTTCCAAACATCTGTGATGCAACTCAAAAAGTCATTAGTCTGGCTTTAAGTGTATCTGTTAGGAAAGGAGAACTTTTGAAAGTTAAAAAGTCGAAAGTTCAATTTAAGAAGTTAGCAAAACAGTAGAACATGCACAGTGAAGCAGAAAAATAGCCACAGAGATAAAAGGGAATCGAATAGGCACTGTGGCACTTGCTTAGGTCAGCATTCCGGGAGGCTGGGGCAGAGGATCTGCAAACCCTATCTCAAAATTGAAAAATTAGCAAGGGGTTGCTGATAGCTCAGTGCAAAGGGACTGTGTTTGGTTTTGATCCCCAGTACTGCAAAACAAAAAGAGAAAGAAAGAACCCACCAATAATATTAAAGACACTCAACATTGGTTCTTTGATGGGGGTGGACAGATGACCTCTGGCAAAAATAGAAAGACCACAGACCACGGCCCTGTTGGCACCTTCTGCACCATTGGTTTCTCCAG